TCCACGCCTCTTTCGACGTTACACGATCGGCGATCGCGACGTAGCGACAGACTCGCCGTTATAACTCCCAACAATATATTGTTTTATCCGATTTATTTTCAATTTTCCGAAGTGACTCTTCACGTTTCATAATTCCACTGTTAAGAAATTCGTGAAATTCACCAAATCGATCAGCAAATTTCTTGCAATTTTCGATGGATTCGTCAATAAAATTTAAATGCGGATCAGTTTGATTATTGACTTTCCCTTGAGAGTCAAGATCATTCTTCCATCCTTTGGCGAATTCTTTGTGATTTTCAAAAAAATACGAAAGGATGTTAGACGCAAAAAATAACCCTTCTTCGATTGATTCTCCTATCTTAACTGAATAATCATTAATTTTTTTAAGATTATCTAATAAGTCGATCTCCATAAAATTGCCGGATATTTCCTTAGATAAAAATTCTACATTATTTATCATAAGAGATATCTCATAAAAATACGTCGGATTTATGATAATAATTGGTTCAAAATCACGTCCATCCCATTGATTAATTGCAAACTCAAATGATTTGCCGTATATACTATAATAGATAACCAAGTAAGAGGAGTATTTCTATTTTTTATGCTTTAATAATATCCATTATATAATTACCGCCTAATAGTTATATGAATTAAAAAATTCATGGATAATTTTAGTTGAAAAATAAATAAAACATGTTTACTTTCGAAAAAATATACCTACTTCCTGATTTAATTGCAAATATTATGTTTAATGGTCAATCATTTAATAGTTATAAGGAATAAATTTTGCACTTACAAACTAATAAATTTAGAATTAGCGAATCTAGATTAAAGAAATGCTTATTCTCTGTGGTTAATTTTATAGTTTTAAATTATATACTTACGATCTGAAATTTTGAAAGTAAAAAGAATTTATTGTTATACGATGATTATAAACAAATATTAAAAGCACGATGATCTAATACTTACCCCCTTTTACACATAAATCATTAGATCACTTGTTAAACGAATTTTCGACATACGGTAAAAGTTATACTCACGGTCTGGTAATTAGATATATATAACTTATTAATTTTAATACCAAATTTTAAATAGAAATAAAATAAAACTTATAATTCACCGTCTTTATTAATACATAAATGTAAAAAAAGTGCATATTATACCCACTTTCTTTAAGGAGTAAAATGCAGAAGTTTAGTAATATGCAATCATTTCAAGCATTAATTCGTACTTACTGCCTAATAATTTTTGAGATAAAATAAATCATTAAGTATTTGCACAAATATTAAAACGCGAAACAAGTAGTAAATAAAATGACCAATATATTTACAAACTTGTGATTAAGATAAGATTAATTTTATAATTAATTTCGATATCTAAATGCCATAAGTAATCAATTAGATACCTACCGTCTGACAATTTTAACCGAATAATTTAAACTTTATACTCACAAGTTGGTAATAAAATGTGCTTTAAATTCTACTGGTGCATTAATATTTAGATAAACTTTAAACTTACATCCTGGCAATAGATATAAATATATTATGATATATGTTAGAAGTTTTATTGCACATAAATGACCTTAGTGTTTAATTTAAATAAACCTAGCATATATCTAATAATCTGAATGAAAATTAAATAAATTTATAAAAATAAATTTGTACTCACTGCCTAATTATTTAATGCAAATATGTTAAATGATATTTCTTGATGTTTATAATAAACAAATCCTATACTCACTCCCTATTAATTAAGATATAATAGAAGTATTAATAAATAATATTTATGTACTTTTAATAAAATATACGAATGAACCTTTACTCACTCTCTATTATTCAATACGAAAATCAATTAGCAATTAGTATTTGAAAATGGGTTTATCAATAGTCAAATGAAGGTCATAATTACAATCTATGATAAAAACAAAACAAATTAAAGGATGTTGATAATTATATAATACAATATTTAAACAAGTTTAGACTTCCTGTAATTTTAAAAAAGAATAAATACAATGCTCATACATATTCTTAAATAATAACTGATAAATTTTCTACTCACTCACTGTTAATTGAATGGAAATAAATTACATAACATTCTTATTTCAAATTAAAGAACTTCATACTTGCCGATTATAATTCAACAAAGTAAATTAACAATTAAAATGAGCATAATTTCAAAGGATTATTAAATAAACAGACTATATACTTACAGCCTAATATTTCATCACAAAAATAAGCTTATTATTTATTAAAATACTTATTTTAATATCCCGTCATACTTACCGACTAATTATTTAACGCGAGAAAAAGAAAAAAAAATTTTATAAAAATATACTGTGTATAATATTTAAGTAAACTTATACCTTCTGTTAATTAATATTGAAATTATTGACATTTGATAATATTAAAATTCTTCTACTTTTATATAAACTTCATACTTACAGTCTAATAATTAGCAGAATAAATTAAATTTAAATTTATAACATTTAATATATAACGTTAAATAATTCTATACTTACTCACTGTTAATTTAAATACGAAATAATTTAAAAAAACAAATAACATATATCGAAAAAAAACTTTAAATAAATTTATACTCACTCTAATATTTTAACTTGCAATTAGTAGTATATCAAACTTTAAATCTAAATTATACTTACGTCCTAATATTTTTTATCAATAAATAAATAAATAATTTAGCAATATTTCTAGATACTCAAATGTATTTAATAATTTAACTTACTCCCTGTGTTTTAATATAAGGATAATTAAACATTATTATTAATATAAATTCTGAAGAATAATATGGATTTATACTTGCAATCTAATGAATAAATAGGAAAAAATCCATTATTTAATAATAATTACAGACACTTTGATAAGTCTTATACTCACTTCCTAATAGTTTAGTAAAATATATTATCAATAACATTGCAGATATTATTGATATATAAATTTAAAATGATTTTTGCTTACTTCCTATTAATTGATAAAATAATTAAATAATATCCGTTGTCTAATTTTGGAATTTTTAATACTCACGTCGCGCTAAATTAATGCAAAATGATTTAATAATATATATATAAACAGATTAACATACTGTAAATGCTCAACAATTTGACAATTTGTAAAATAATATATAAGTAAATACTTACATTCTATTAATACAAAAATAATTATTAATTGTATTTTAAAACTAATAAGAGACTATTATTTTACACTCACACTCTAATGAATAAAAATAAATTAATTTCCAAAAAAAAAATAAACATTACAACATGGTATTTGCACGCACTTACAGCCTAATAATTAGACACGAAAGTTAATTTTAATATAATGTAATATTAGTGCAATGATAAATAAGCTTTATACTCACGCTCTTTTAATAATAAATAAATTAATAATAAAACATTTATCTGTAAACTCAATTGTAATAGTTATATAGGAATTAAGCATACTCTCTATTATTAAATACGATAAATAATTTAGTACTATTTGTAAACACAAGTAGAATTTTTAAATAAGCCAAGTACTTACGATCTGATAATTATAGAAATAATTAATAACATGACCATTTAAAGATACTTACAAACATATTTTTTAAAAAACTATACTTACAATCTAAATGCATATTATGAAAATCAATTAAAATTCAATAACATAGATTATTTTATTATTTTAATTAAGTATAATTAATACTTACAGCTATTAATTTAATGCAAAATTCAACGTCAGTATCAATAAATGATTAACAACTTACTATTATAAATATTTACTTTATAATCAAGAAAACTTTATACTTACGTCCTGTCAATTTAACATCGAAACAACAAATATTTAACATTATTCACATTAAGTATTATAATTAAAAAAGCTTTATACTTACTCCCTGTTAATTTAACACAAAAATAATTGAGAGTTAAATAAAATTCATATTAATTAATTTATTACTATAATTAAGAAAACTTTATACTTGCTTCCTGTTAATTTACACAAAAATAATTAAGAGTTAAATATTATTTATATCGATTATTATAATTAAGCAAACTTACACCCTGTTAATTTAACATAAAAATAATTAAAAGTTAAAAATTGTTCATATCAATTATTTTAATTAAGCCAACTTTATACTTACGCACTGTTAATTTAACAAAATAATTAAGATCAAAATATTATTCATATCGATTATTATAATTAAGCAAACTTATACTTACCTCCTGTTAATTTAACATAAAAATAATTAAGAATTAAATACTATTAATATCAATTATTATAATTAAGCAACTTTATATTTACCTCCTATTAATTTAACAAAAAATAATTATGAGTAAATCTATGTATATCGATTATTAAAATTAAGCAAATTTTATACTTACAAACTGTTAACATAAAATAATTAAGAGTTAAATATTATTTATATTAATTGTCGTAATCAGGCAAACTTTACACTTACGAACTGTTAATTTACATAAAAACAATAAAAGTTTATTATTATTCATATTAATTATTATAATTAAGCAAACATTATACTTACAAACTATTAATTTAACATAAAAATAATTAAGGATTAAATATTATTCATATCGATTATTATAATTAACCAAATTTTATACTTACTTCCTGTTAATTAAACACAAAAATAATTAAAGAGATAAATATTATTCATATCGATTATTATAATTAAGTAAACTTTATATTTACCTTCTATTAATTTATTATAAAAATAATTAAGAGTTAAATATTATTAATATCGACTATTATAATTAAGAAAACTTTATACCTACTCCCTGTTACTTAACACAAAAATAATTAAGAGTTACACATTATTCCTATTTATTATTATAATAAAGAAAACTTTATACTTACTTGCTGTTAATTTAACAAAAAGACAATTAAGAGTTAAATATTATACCAATTATTATAATTTGGCAAACTTTATGCTTACGCCCTGTTAATTTAACACAAAAATAATTAAGAATATAATATTATATCGATTATCTTAATTAATTAAACCTATACTTACCAACTGTTAATTTAACACAAATAAACAAGAGTTAAATATTATTCGTATTGAATATTATAATTAAGAAAACTTTATACTCACTTCCTGTTAATTTAACACAAAAATAATTGAGTTAAATATTATATATAACGATTATTGTAATTAAGCAAAGTTTATACTCACTTCCTGTTAATTTAACACAAAAATAATTAAGGGTTAAATATTATTCCTATCAATTAATATAATCAAAAAAACTTTATACTTACAAACTATTAATTTAACACAAAAATAATTAAGAGTTAAATATTATTAACATCAATTATTATAATTAAGCATACTTTATACTTACGTCCTATTAATTTAACAAAAATAATTGAGACAAATATTATTAATATAAATTATTATAATTAAGAAAAATTTATACTTACAAACTGTTAATTTAAGACAAAAATAATC